ACCTTTCATTGTGTTTTTAATGCCTATTTCTATTGCTGACTTAAAATAAGTTAGTGTAAACTTGTCTGGCATTTATTACATATTTTATATGTGCTCTGATAATACTTGTGGACCTGTGTGGTAGCCGGGTGGAGGGACAACATTACGTTTTCTCTGCTCAGCCATCAGAGAAAACTTGTATGAATCTGCATTTGGCCCAGCAACTCCCACACTCCGCTTTTGTTTACAATTTTCGGCATGAATTATTCATTACTTTTCCCTTCGTTTATGATGGCATCTAAAGGTAGTTGTTAGAAATGATTAAATTCAGTGAACAAGGTATGTTGATGTTAATAATATGGCTCTGGGCAACAGTGTAGGTAGCCGGTAGGTGTAGCCCAGGCGGGCTACACCTACCGGCTACCTACACTGACTTCCGACAAATAAATACTACTCACCTCTCTTCCTATATTAAAATTACACATATTTTAAGGTAAATAATGAGTGTACTGTATGTGTATTTTACCTCTCTGGGATGTTTTAAATATCATATATTAATCCTTTGACTGTCGCGGCCGTATATATACGTCTTACGAGATACCATGTTTGATGTATATATACTCATAAATTCTAGCGGCTTCAAATCAAGAAGGAGAAAGCTGGTAGGGCCACATGTGAGAGAATGGGTCTGTGTGGTCAGTGTGCACCACATAAAAAAAATCCTGGAGCACGCAGTGCATAATGAGAAAAAAAAAACTCCGACCGTTTTTTTTTTAATTAACCCTTTGACTGTCGCGGCTGTATATATACGTCTTACGAGGTACCGTGTTTGACGTATATATACTCATAAATTCTAGCGGCTTCAAATCAAGCAGGAGAAAGCTGGTAGGCCCACATGTGAGAGAATGGGTCTGTGTGGTCAGTGTGCACCATATAAAAAAAATCCTGGAGCACGCAGTGCGTAATGAGAAAAAAAAAAACTGACCATTTTTTTTTAATTAAAATGCCGACTTTGTGGTCTATTTTCGTATAGTATTTATGGTTGTATTTTCGTTTTCTTGGTCTCATTTGATAGAATGGAAAACATATTATAGAAATAGAGGTGATTTTGATTGGTTTTACTATAAAAAGAACCTGGAAATGGAGCTCAAAGTAGGGGAAATGTTTGATTTTTGCCAATGTTCAAAAGTACACAAATTATGTCATTGTCCAATAAATGTCCAACTAACCATTCTAATATGCAGTCATGAATGGGTTGATGTTATTTATACAATTATTACAGTATTGCAGTAGTCTGCATAATAGTAAGTCTTCTATTTTCTGTTTGAATAAAAATTCAAAATAGAAAGCAAGAGTAATATCAGAGGGGCCTGGAGACATGACTGATGAACAAAGAAAATGTTATTTTAGAGCCAGGAATGTCTGCATTGTTCATTCTGGACCTTATTTTGAAATTGTCTTATTTTTTAATTTTCGTGAAATTGGCCAAATTGCAAATTTCTGACCACATTATTGGGTAGTTGAAATCGGTAAATGGGCAGTTTCTTGTACTCAGTTGATAGAAAAAATGGAGTTCTAAAGAAATAGCTATGAATTTGGTCGAATGGAACAAAGGAATTAGCCGAAAATAGGGCTCAAAGTGGGCGAAATCGCCGTTTTGTAAATATCGCTTAGGTTGCTAAATTCGCGAGAGCATAATTCTGTCAGTTTTCCATCAAATTTCGTTTATTTTAGTGTCATTACAATCGGGAAAAGATTCTCTATCATTTCATAAGAAAAAAATAATTTTTTTTTTTTTTAAATTTTGCGACACCAGGAGACACCTCAGGATTGGGGGTTGCGACAGTCAAGGGGTTAAGTATGAGACGGGGAGCCAGCGTTACCTACACCTGGGCTACCTGCACCTGATTTCCTACAAATAAGTACTACTCACCTCTCTCCCTACATTAAGATTACAAATGCTTTAATATAAGTAATGAATGTACTGTGAATGTATTTTACTTTGTGTGTTTTTAATGCCTAGTTCTATTACTAACTTAATATAATTTAGTGTAAACTTGTTGTCTGGCATTTATATACATTTATAAATGGGAAAAAATGGCGTTCGGCCTTCTGGCGATGTCTGCTTTCCGGTTACAGCTTGGAACCTAACCCGCTGTATAAGTGGGGCCCTACTGTATACGTTTGGGGCACTAGCAGTAAAAACGTATATACAGTGGAACCTCAAAAATCGAACTTAATCCGTTCCAGGAGCTAGTTCTAAATTCGAAAAGTCTGAAATTCGAAGCAATATTTCCCATAAGAAATAATGGAAACACAATTAATCCGTTCCAGAAACCCAAAAATATTCACACAAAAAATACATTTTATAGAGATTAATTATAGCTTTACATACAACAAATACTATAGTTTTTAATTATGTATAGTAATACATATAAAATAATATTTTTACTTACCTTTATTGAAGATTGGTGATGGCATCTGGAAGATAGGGAGGAGGAGAGAGTGAGTTGGGGTTAGTGTTTGGAAGGAGAATCCCCCTCCATGAGGACTTCAGGTAAAGCCCTCTCTGGGGTTACTTCCCTTCTCTGTCTTTTAATGCCACTAGGACCAGCTTGAGAGTCACTGGACCCCTGTCTCACAAAATAACTGACCACAGTCCTCTGTTTCTGGCGCCTCTTTAACATTTCCCTAAAATGGGACATGGTTCTGTCACTGAACTTGTTGCAAAGATGGCTTGTTTCAGCTTGCTTAGGGTGGTACTTCTGCACAAACATTTGGACATCATTCCACTTGGCACAAATCTCCTTAATCTTTGAAGAAGGCACCTCATCCACTCCCTCTTCCTCCTCCTCTGAAGCAAGTTCCTCAGCTGTGGTCTGATAGTGCTCCAGATGAAGCTCTTGAAGCTCTTCAGTGGTTAGCTCTTCCCTGTGGTCCTCCACCAACTCTTCCACATCCTCACCACTCACCTCCAACCCCAGGGTGTTCCCCAATGCCTTATGATTAGCTTTCCACAAGACACATAACTTGTTCTTAAAGACATTGTTTTTCTTAAACACACTGGGATTTTCTGAATGATACACAAGTAAAGGCTTCACTTTAAAATCACCACTAGCATTAGCACAGAACAAAAGAGTAAGCCTGTCTTTCATAGGCTTGTGTCCTGGCAGTGCCTTTTCCTCCTGTGTGATGAAGGTCTTTTTTGGCATTTTCTTCCAAAACAAGCCTGTTTCGTCACAATTAAACACTTGTTCAGGTTTCAGTTCTTCACTGTCTATGTACCCCTTAACCCTTAAACGGTCCAAAGAGATTGACGTTCAAATTCGTAGTGCTACAAAAGTAGATCTACTTTTTTTTTTACATATTTTCAAATATAACCAAAAAAATGTAGATAAAAGTTTTTTTTACACGTTTTCAAATGTAAAACAAAAAAGATCTACATTTTTTTTACATACTTTCAGATGTTGAAAAAACGTATATATACGTTTGGACCATTTAAGGGTTAAACTCCTGTACAAACTTCTCAGCTGCCCGTTTGTCTGAACTGACTGCCTCGCCATGTCTTACAACATTGTGTATGCCACTACGCTTCTTAAATCTGTCAAACCAACCTCTGCTGGCCTTTAATTCACTATCAGCACTGGTTCCAGGAGCTTCCTGTACCAGATCGGCATGCAACTTCCTTGCCTTTTCGCAAATAATCGTCTCTGAAACACTATCACTTGCAATCTCTTTATCTTTGATCCACACCAGCAACAACTTCTCAACCTCTTCAACTATTTGTGGTCTTTTTTTGGTTAGCATATTAACACCTTTCGCAACATCAGCTTCCTTGATTTGTTCTTTCTTTGCCAGGATAGAACCGATGGTCGACTTGTTTTTCCCATACATCCTGGCAAGCTCAACAAGTCTCACACCACTCTCATACTTCTGTATTATTTCCTTCTTCACATCTATGGTGTTTCTCACTTTCTTTACCACAGGGGTACCACTAGCAAGTTTCTTTGGGCCCATGGTAGCTTATTTCACAGTCCCACAAGCACTAAACACAATGAAATAATCGTAAAATGCGTGAATGAGAGCGCAGGTTAGTGTTCACTCAAGCATAAACAAAGCTAGACTGCTCATGGCGCCTGCGCAGGGACGTGGACAGAGCGGGCCAGCGGACAGGTCCCGTACCTGGCGGTCTGAAAATAGGGGCGCGTTCGATAATAGGGACACAGTTTGTCCGAAAAAATGGTCCTATTTTCGAAACGTTCAATATGTGATACGTTCGATTTTTGAGGTTCCACTGTATACGTTTAGACCGTTTACGGGTTAAAGAAGGGGTTTGGGATATTGGCTGTTTGGGATGACCTCTAAAGTGTTGTGTCTGGGCATCTCTGGAAAGACAGTGATTGTGTATGAATGATGGGTCACCCTGCCTTGGTGGGAGATGGCCAGTGTGTTAAAAAAAAAAAATAGGTTCTAGCATAATATAGTGTTGTTTTCTTAATTTTTTTTTATCATTCCTGTTTTCAAGTCTTTTTTAAGGTTAGGGTACTTTGTATGTTAATTCAAAGCCCTTTATTTTCCTCTTCACAGCAGTGGATAGCACACACGTCTACTAGTTTGAGAAATGGCTTGTTATGAGTTTGACCCCTCCATTCTGTGACTTGCTTGGTTTTGTTTAGTATAGTTTTTTTTTGGGGGGGGGGGGGGGGGGGGAAACGGCTGACATGTTTGGGTCACCTTTTCTCGGTGGGAAACAGCCAACATGTTAAAAAGAAAAAAATATGATTCTGCAAGTTGTTTATAAAAGGTGTGAAGGAGCTTGAGCTAGAGAACACCACAGTCATGCTGTTGTGAGAAATACTTGTTAAAACTGGAAGCTTATGTGTACTAACCTTCCTGCTTTGTAGGAACACACCTAAGTCGATGGATTTTTTAGGGCTTTAACTCTTAGCTTGCTATGAGTTCAAGTCCTCTGTTAGGTTAATTGTAGACTGTAGTTGCTACCTTATTCTTTTGACTTGCAGACGACGACGATAACGATGATGGAGACAGTGTAGATGTTGTGGATGGTGTTGTAATGCGATGTGTTCTCATTAACACCAAGTCTCTGCAAGAAGCCATCCTAAGGTTCCAGCCTGCCACCCCACTTGCTGGACATCACAATGTGGGCCCTCTAGACCTTAGTGAATCTCAGGACTCGATAGGTAAGGTTTCTTAAATTATAGTTAATACAGTATATTCTGTTCACTATGTTGGGAGATAAACAATAGAGGCATTCCTGATAATGAGGGGAAGGGGAGCTGCTAAACAATCTCTTAAAACAATTTTATGATGCCTAATATGCCTTTACTATCTGTCCTATCTCACTGGCTTAAGTGGCATGAGATGCTTCAATTATTATATACTGTTTGAACCTATACTGAACATAGTGGTTGATTTTTCAATATGTGACTATTCCATTGATATCTGTTAGAGTAAGAATTAAACTAGTTAATATAATTCTATGGCATTTACTGCTCATATATGTTTTAATAATTTGTTAGTTAATAGGAATGTATATTGTTCCCATGTAGCCATAACCAACTTAAAAAAACAGTTCAGTGTCATATTGTAGTAGGAAGATTTTTTGCAACATTAGTCAGTTTACATTGCTGTTATGTACAAGAGACATTTACATATACAGCTTCTCCTCACTTAACAACAGAGTTCTGTTCTTAAGACCACATCGGTAAGCGAATTTGTCACTAAGTACTGTAGTGGGTTTATGTCAACCATCTTTGATATTGTTTTAATGTCACCTTTGAACAATTTATAACATTTTTAGTATATTTTTAAATGTTTATGCAGTAGTGTACTGTATATTGTAATAAACAGAATAAAGGAAATCAGCTCTAGTATACATAGGTATGCATACTGGTCAGAGTCCGTCATGAATATGAGTCGTCAGTAAACGGGTATGTCGCCAAGTGAGGAGAGGCTATAGTAAAATATTCCTGTATTTGTTTTCTAACCAAAAATTTGCTAGGTATGCAGGTATGACTTCCTTTACAAAGAGTATAAATTTTAGTGTCATGTATTTCACCTCAATAATACGCTTCTGTTGTATTATAAAGTATTTTGTTGCAGTGGTGCGTGATGGTCTGACAGACCTGAGTATGAACCTCAGTACTTCAGTGTCTGAGGTAGAAGGAACGGTGAGTGGCAATGGTGTAGGGGTTGAAGATCAACCTCCTCCACCGCCTCCACCTGATGCCCTGACCTCTCCCCAGAGCTCCAGTCTTTCATCACAGCACAGTGCTCTCCAGACACCACCTGCATCACAGGTATCATACATGGCAAAAACTTGTCTTTACCCACAGCAGCAAATTCTTTTCTTTGCTTAACCAAAATGATTCATGAATAGTAGTGAAGTATTTTTCTTATCTGGAATATTGTATGCAAAAGGGTATACAAATTGTATGAAACTCCAAATACACCTTTTTATTTTTATTTTTTTTGTGCAAAGTAGAGATTCTGAATTGAAATTTTGAATTCCTTCTACACATTCTTGTTTTTCAGTGCAGGCAAGTAGCAGTAGTTGAAATATCTTTGGAAAATTTATCATGGAATGATGCCCTCTAGGAGCAGGAGTTCCCTAAGAAAACTCAGCATCAAATATTGATGGTTACAGTAGAGCCCTGCTTTTCGGCGTTTTGCCTTGCGGCATTCCACTAATACAGCGATCTCAAATTATGACCGAAACTTTCTATACGGCAAGCTGTCTCATATACGATGCACGCCACCCAGTTTGTTTACATTCTCTATAAGCACCTCTCTCTCTTTTTTTTTTTTTTCAACAAGTCGGCCGTCTCCCACCGAGGCAGGGTGACCCAAAGAGAAAGAAAATCCCCAAAAAGAAAATACTTTCATCATCATTCAACACTTTCACCTCACTCACACATAATCACTGTTTTTGCAGAGGTGCCCAGAATATAACAGTTTAGAAGTATATACGTATAAAAATACACACAATATCTCTCCAAACTGCCAATATCCCAAACCCCTCCTTTAGAGTGCAGGCACTGTGCTTCCCATTTCCAGGACTCAAGTCCGGTTATATAAAATAACCGGTTCCCCTGAAACCCTTCACTAAATATTACCCTGCTCACACTCCAACAGATCATCAGGTCCCAAATACCATTTGTCTCCATTCACTTCTATCTAACACACTCACACACGCTTGCTGGAAATCCAAACCCCTTGCCCACAACACCTCCTTGACCCCCTCCCTCCAACCTTTTCGAGGACGACCCCTACCCCGCCTTCCTTCCCCTACAGATTTATACACTCTCCATGTCATTCTACTTTGATCAATTCTCTCTAAATGACCAAACCACCTCAACAAACCCTCTTCAGCCCTCTGACTAATACTTTTATTAACTCCACACCTTTTCCTAATTTCCACACACCTAATTTTCTGCATAATATTTACACCACACATTGCTCTTAGACAGGACATCTCCACTGCCTCCAACTGCCTCCTTGCTGCAGCATTTACAACCCAAGCTTCACACCCATGTAAGAGTGTTGGTACTACCTTTTTTCCTTTATCAATTCTATGATTAACCTCATCCTTCATAAATCCATCCGCTGACACGTCAACACCCAAATACAGTGGACCCCCGGTTAACGATATTTTTTCATTCCAGAAGTATGTTCAGGTGCCAGTACTGACCGAATTTGTTCCCATAAGGAATATTTAGAAGTAGATTAGTCCATTTCAGACCCCCAAACATACACGTACAAACGCACTTACATAAATACACTTACATAATTGGTCACATTGGGAGGTGATCGTTATGCGGGGGTCCACTGTATCTGAAAACATTCACTTTCTACCTTTACACATTCCCAAATTCGTCCACTAACCTTTGCAATTTTTCTTTAGAATCTCCCATAAGCACGGTATCATCAGCAAAAAGTAACTGTGTCACTTCCCATTTTGTATTTAATTCCCCATAATTTAATCCCACCCCTCTCCTGAACACCCTAGCATTTACTTTTACAACCCCATCTATAAATATATTAAACAACCATGGTGACATTACACATCCCTGTCTAAGACCTACTTTTACCGGGAAGTAGTCTCCCTCTCTTCTACACACCCTAACCTGAGCCTCACTATCTTCATAAAAACTCTTTACAGCATTTAGTAACTTACCACCTATTCCATGCACTTGCAACATCTGCCACATTGCTCCCCTATCCACTCTATCATATGCCTTTTCTAAGTCCATAAATGCAATAAAAACTTCCCGACATTTATCTAAATACTGCTCACGTATATGCTTCAATGTAAACACTTGATCTACACATCCCCTACCCCCACTAAAACCTCCTTGCTCATCCGCAGTTCTACATTCTGTCTTACCTCTAATTCTTTCAATAATAACCCTACCGTACACTTTTCCTGGTATACTCAGTAAACTTATTCCTCTATAATTTTTACAATCTCTTTTGTCCCCCTTTCCTTTATATAAAGGGACTATACATGCTCTCTGCCAATCCCTAGGTACCTTCCCCTCTTTCATACATTTATTAAACAAAAATACCAACCACTCCAACGCTATGTCCCCCCCTGCTTTTAACATTTCTGTCATGCTCCCATCAGTTCCAGCTGCTTTACCCCCTTTCATTCTACGTAATGCCTCATGCACCTCCCCCACACTCACATCCTGCTCTTCTTCACTCCTAAAAGATGGTATACCTCCCTGGCCAGTGCATGAAATTGCCGCCTCCCTTTCTTCATCGATATTTAAAAGTTCCTCAAAATATTCTCGCCATCTACCCAAAACCTCCATCTCCCCATCTACTAACTCCCCTTCTCTGTTTTTAACTGATAAATCCATTTGTTCCCTAGGCTTTCTTAGCTTGTTTAACATTCCAAAATTTTTTCTTATTTTCATTAAAATTCCTTGACAGTGTCTCTCCCACTCTATCATCCGCTCTCCTTTTGCACTCTCTCACCACTCTCTTCACCTTTCTTTTACTCTCCATATACTCTACTCTTCTTATAACACTTCTGCTTTGTAAATACCTCTCATAAGCTAACTTTTTCTCTTTTATCACACCCTTTACTTCATCATCCCACCAATCACTCCTCTTTCCTCCTGCACCCACTCTCCTATAACAACAAACTTCTGCCCCACATTCTAATACTGCATTTTTAAAACTATTCCAACCCTCTTCAACCCCACCACTACTCATGCCTGCACCAGTCCACCTTTCTGCCAATAGTTGCTTATATTAGTTTATTCCACTGTGGGGTGTATTTAGCATGTTTATTATATAATTTAAAAAAAATATCATAGATGGATTAATGAAAATATTTATGTAATATATGACATTTAATGCACCTCAGAGTGATTATTATTGTGTATTATTATTGTCATTATTAATATGGTATCCTCAAGACTAATAAGATACTCTTAGTGATTTTAACCCTCTCAGGGTCGACAGGCCATCTCCCAGACTCGTTCTCAGGGTCGAGAAATTTTCAAAAAAAATAAAAATTCTTATGATAAGATAGTTTTTTTTTTTAAACATTATAAGCTAAAAAAAATAGTTTTGCCATCAGTACTTACCGAGATATGGAGGCGTGAAGTTGACAGAAAATGAGCTGCATGTGGCATCATCGCTGACTGCCGGTCACCCGGTATTTTCTTTTCTTTTTTTCTACTTTTTTTTTTTTTTTTTTTTTTAAGTAACTTATGGCCTGTGAGACCAATATGAGCACTATTTTGTAAGTTTTTTCTCTTTATTTACTACACAATAACTGCACAAACACTGTTGTCACTACATTGTTTACAAAACTTGTTTACACAAATGAATGATTTAAAATGTTGTTTATTACTATTTTTCTATATTTATATATACTTATACAGTCACAGAACATGTTTCTAGAAGTTCTGCAGCCTCTGGAACTCTTTGAAACATGATAGTCATGCACAGTGGTGTTTTTCACTCCTCACACACAAAATGAGTGTCTGCATTGTTGTGGGCGTTTTTTTTGTATGTGCACAGACGTAACACCTCTTCTGAGCCTTTTTCTTGAAGGAAGTAGCAGGCAGTTGTATTAAGAAGTGATCACCATGCTTCAGATGAGAAGGTAATTGTTGATAACTTAGTGGGCGGTTTTCTATTGCAGGTGTTGTTCCTTGGTACTTGAATACTATTTGTCTGATGACAGACAAATAAAATTCGCCATATGGTGGTTTGTTTCTGGTCCTCATCTTGTACATAATATAAGCATTGAGCTTATAATATGTCCAGAAGATGGAAAAAGAATTTTATGTACCACTTATAACTCTTGCGAACACAATCAGCAAACCCAATCTGCATGTCATATTTGTCCACTGAATGCATGTGGAAGGTGTAATCAGTCACAGCTGCAGGTTTTAGAATGGATTCATTGATCTCTATTCTGCCTGCCAGTGTTTGTCATTTCGTTAGGGTGAGCTGATGACAACAGTGTGACATCTCGTTTGTCATGCCATTGAAATGCCATGATGTCATTGGCAGCAAATGCCTGCATCTCACCTCTACGAGTGCCAGCGTCAAACCTGGGCATATGCTTATGATTTGCACGCACTGTGCCACACACATCTGTCACGTTCACTTGCAAAAAATCACTGAGTGAGGGGCTTGTGTACCAGTTATCAGTACAGTGGAACCTCAAATATCGAACTTAATCCGTTTCAGGAATTAGTTCTAAATTTGAAAGTATGAAAAGTGAAGCAATATTTCCCATAAAAAATAATGGAAATAAAATTAATCCGTTCCAGAAACCCAAAAATATTCAAAAAAAAAAAAAAAATTATAGAGATTAATTATAGTTTTACATACACACAACAAATATAGTGTTCAATTATGTATTAATAAATTTAAATAAACATATAAAATAGGTAGTAGGTTGGTAGACAGCAACCAACCAGGGGGGTACTACCGTCCTGCCAAGTGAGTGTGAAACGAAAGCCTGTAATTGTTTTACGCAATGGTAGGATTGCTGGTGTTTTTTGTCTCTCATAAATATGCAAGATTACAGGTACGTCTTGCTACTTCTACTTACTCTTAGGTCACACTACACATACATGTACAAGCATACATATACACACCCCTCTGGGTATTCTTCTATTTTCTTTCTAGTTCTTGTTCTTGTTTATTTCCTCTTATCTCCATGGGGAAGTGGAACAGAATTCTTCCTCCGTGAGCCATGCGTGTTGTAAGAAGCGACTAAAATGCTGGGAGCAAGGGGCTAGTAACCTCTTCTCTTGTGTAAATTACT